TCCCTTGATAGTCCTCACCATAACCCATAGGATCCATGTATGGTATATATGCGAACATTGGGGGTATATCGATGGTAAATGTTACCATATATAGCATACATCGATCCTATGGGTAAAGATGTTCTACATGTTCCCACCTTGTAGTCGAACATGCGCGGCAGTAGACGGCTGTGTCCAGTGGTACGAGATTCGCGGTGCTTTTGCACTCGGGACATGGTGGAAGTTCCATGGTAGAGATCCACGGCGCGATGGGAAGACCACAGCCCAACTGCTGCGGGAATCCAACTGTACATGCTGGGACTTTTTCTCACCAAAACCAAGATATTTAGATGTATTGGATTTTTTGCACGGAAAACGGGTCTATAGCTTTTGGGGGGTTCACAAGGTTTTGGTCAATCATTTGTACATCAAGGGAGTGTCGGGCGATCAGACAATTAAAGCTATACATAGTTATTTATATATATATATATACATACGCATATACAATCATATACATATGCATCTATCCCAACCTCTGATGGTTGAGCATCATGTTTCTCTCTAAAATTGCCATAGGAATCGATTGAAAAATTGGTCTCCCATTCCTGTTTCGCCAGCCTCACCTTGCTGCAGCTGGCGCGAATCAGGTGGCACCACATCAGAAAACCTGGTTTTTCGGCAGCACACTCCATGGATTCTTTTCTTTTCGTGCAGTTGTTTTTCTGGGATTTTGTTGGGATATTCAAAAATTATTTGGATCATTTTGGATCTGGGGATGTCCTAAAAAGTGAGAAACTCCAACATCCATCATCCATCCAAGTGGGTCTGTACTATAGATATGGCATTTTTGTGTTTCGAGATGGAAACCCCTGGATGGAATCATGGAAGCCAAGAACTGTCCCCAGAGAATCATGGAGGGCCCAGATATTCAATACAATCTAGTGATACCCTCTGGTAAACTAACAGTCAGCTATTGAAAATTGCCATTGAAATCGTGGATTTTCCCATTAAAAATGGTGATTTCCCATAGCTATGTTAAATTACCAGAGGGTATCTACTGTGTTTTGGAAGATGATCCCCTATCATCCGATGAATCCACATCCACCAAGCCACATCCTTTTTGGCAATGAGAAGACAGTAATATTTACAACAACATACAACGAACACTGCTAATAGATGGTATTCTAGTACAATACAATATAAAAATATATAAAATAATAATCTAGTTCATAGTATTATAATAACATGCATACCGTGCTGCATACCACATACATATCTATGATATTCTATAATATTCCACGATAGTAATAGTCCTACCCAGAGCACAAATAGACACAGCAACAGCACCGTGGCACCTGAATTTTCCTTTGACGCTTCGCCGAGTAAACACCTGGCTTCGCGATCTCAGTGCGGCAGGGGTAGAAGTCATGGGCTCCACCAGGCTTGATAATGATGGAGATAATGATGGTGACTAGTGGCCAATTGTGAGTTAATACTACAAGTAGGTCAATAACTCTTACTAGTTGTTGGGTACCCTTCATTGTCATCAGACATGGCTGCCTGGGAAATTCCCGCACTAAAAATGGAGGCTTATAGTCTTATAGCTGGGAAAATCATCGAACTAAATGGAGTGATTCCCCGGAAAGCTGTGCTTGATTACCGGAGGGTATGACTTGGCATAAGTCAGGGTATCAAGGCGTTGATTGGCATTCTGATATACATATACAGTACTTCAATATACTTCAATATCATTGAATCATAACTCCATTTAGAATCATTGACAAATCAAAAAAACATGAAAGATACTGTGGATGGAAGAAATGCTGCACCAGCTGATAGGTTGATTATCCCATTATTTATAGGGTTTCAACAAGTTTCAACCATCCTTTTGGTGGTGCAGGATTTCGCAACCATCCACTGTAGCTCCGTGTAGATGTTGCTTGGGATGCCAACGATTGGGACCAGACCTCCGCGATCACTGATGGAAACAGAGTCCCATAGATCTACAGTAGTGCTTGGATGTGGAAAAACATGGAAAAACCATTGGGTACACAGCATATCCACCCATATGTCAATGGTGGCGCCCTCTTTCTCGCCCTCTCCAACAGATCATAATTCATCCTTAGCATCTCAAATGGCTCGTGGTTGAGCTATCCGTTCCAAAACATGAAAATCAACTGGGATTATCGTCCCACTTTTTACCACTAATACAACTAATGAATGCACGTGAATTATGTGAAACAAAAACATACAAAAACACCAACCATGTGTAGAGATTGGTTGTATCCGTTCCCCTTCTACTCCAGCTTTGGTGGCCTTTTTTGATAGTGAAGTCCGCGTATGTTTGACGGTTCCCCAAGTTTGGGGCACTGAAATCCCAGGTTGAAGAGCATGGTCAAGCCATCCCTTGATGAAATCTCCCACCATCCGACTCTTTTTTTCACACTGAGAGTTGATCCTTCTGCTACCCATAGGATCCATGTATGGTATATATGCTATTATATGCTAACATTTACCATCAATATAGCTCAAATGTTATCATATATACCAGCACCATGGATCCTTCTTATGGCAATGGAATTGCCATGAATTTCCCCGAACGAAATGAAGGTTTAGAGATGTTTAGAGCTTGGGATGTCCAGCAAGCCATGTTCGACGACACCGAAGGGTACCCAACAACTATCAACACTTATTAACCCAGATTTTCACCTAGTATTAAGTCCATGGATTTTCACCATTTCTCACCATCATAAAATCTCCATCCTAACCTCCCCAAGCCACTCAGCCACTCAGCCACTCACCTTGCTCGCCAACAACTCAGCAACGTCAAGAGCTGCAGCAACTCTGCCGCCACCCGTGGAGACACCGTAGGCACGGCTTCTCCTGGTTTACGGATAGAAAGGGTGGCCAAGGTTAGATAAATAATGTGTTGTTTCTGTAGTGCACTTACCCTCTGGTAAACTAACATAGCTATGGGAAATCACCATTTTTAATGGGAAAATCCACTATAAATGGTCATTTTCAATAGCTATGTTAGTTTACCAGAGGGTAGTAGATTCCTCCGTGGCTGAACATGACCATCAGGAAGGAGGTTTGGATCGTTTCTGAAATGTTCTCTCATTGGATTGGTTTAAGAGACATTTTGCAGGAAACCACCATACTTGATGAGAGTAACCATACTTTCCTGTAGATGTTCCCTTAAACCAAATCATTGATGCATACATTGATTCATACGGATGGACTAATATATAGAAAGCATCGATGCATGATGAGCTTGCATTCCTAGGCTGCTTACTTGACGCCCAAAAAGTCTGGTTCCGACTGAGCTGTTGTTCAGGACAGAAAACTGAGAATTGGAACATACGAGCAGCCATCAAATGTCTAGGTGGTTCAAAAGAACATTGGGATCCAACTGCTGGATAAATGCAGGTTATGCTGACCAAATTTGGCAAGCTTCCAAAGACTAATCAGGCACTGGCAAGGTTTGACACACCTTTGCAATCCTTACACACTTCGATGCCAAAGAATCCAAAGAATGAACTGAATCTCGACAACTTTTCTTCACCGTAATAGCTACTGCAAGCCAAATCGCCGCTGCCATCGCCCGCTGACTGTCCTTCAGGCTGCTGGCCATCGGAGGCCTGCACGTTGGTTGTCTTTCAAAACAGAATCAAGCTGCAAAATTCAGAGCAACCAAGGTTTACAGGTTTACTCCGATGCAAAGAGCTGATAAATGGATGTGAGGCGACTTTACTGCTGCATCTGCATTGTGTGATGGCTGCAGGGATCTAATGGCTGAACTTTACTAGTCATAAGCTCAAACTGGTAAAACATCAAACCCCGGGTCCAACAAAAATGATGCCGACATATTTTGAGGTAGATGAACGTCCGATGTTCAAAGAAAAAACAACAATGTCATTTTGAAAACCAGCCAGTGGTATTGACCCACTTTTGATTCATAGCACTATGCTGCAACACCACCTGCTGAATTTCTCCGCCTCCAAGATGGAGAGTGCCGAGCCGAAGATCTTGTTTCCCAAACCTGCGGCCCAAAGGGCACCATCCCAGCTTCAGTAGGAAACGTATGAAAGAAATCTGAGACTACTCACCAACCTGTAATCCTGTGACATTCATTGCTGATGATTGGTTTATATCCCTGTTGTTGATTGTTTTTGCAGGTTTTATGCATATTATTCCCAGTTCTGGTGGCCCTTCCAAGTGGGTGCCCCCTGGGCCTATCTTGTCGCAGGTCCTTGGAAAGCAAGGACTGGACAGAGTCCTTTTTTTTTAATGAGGCTACATGTTAGAAGGACTCGCAAAAAGCTGGTTTATATAATTAGATTATGATAGGTTATACCAGATTGTTGTAGGTGATAGTTCTTGAACCATCCCATTTGGGGTGGCAAACCGTTCCTGGCTAAAGTCTTCAGCAGAGAAAGGGAATATAGCAACACGTATCCAGCCTATTCACTATTCCAGGATCCTTGATTGAGGTGTTGTGTGCATGTGCAAACAAAATTCTGTATCGTTCGATTTTGATGTCTCTCTAAATCATCAATTCTTCAGAGGGACGGTTAAAAGGCTCCAGTGACAGATCATCATCTGCAACAATAAATGACGTCAGGCTGCAGGCCAGTCAAAATCGAGCCTTTTTACAGGGCCTCCCATTGGAAAATGGAGCCATACCCTACAGTAGGCCAATTGAAAATTAAATGGTCCGTCCCATGGTCCAAAAGATTTCATATTTTTCCCCTTTTTCTGACAAAAAACTGGGTACAGTATACGAACCTATTTTCATATATATATATATATGTATAATTATGTATACACATTCAACCAGTATATGCTTGATGATGTAGATAGATATACATTCGACCATCATATGTTTGATGATATAGATAACTATATGTTTGATGATATATATATATATGTATACAGTATATCATGTAATTGTGCCATTCTATCTTCATCCCACTCTTCGCGTCATGGTGTACCCCCTTTCCCCGGTGTCATCCAAGGCGCCATAGGTCCACCCCCCGGTGCCCCAGCGCCAGCAGAGGCCCTAGCACTTGGCTCAGCTCCGAGGTGGGAGAACTGAGCTGAAGAGATAGGGAGCTGTAGAGATCCAGCACCAGCTGCCCTTAGGGCTCCGAAAAACGGGGACTTTTGACACTCTGTGGAAATTTAAGATGATCTAAGATGATGTCATAGATAAATAATGTTTTGTGATGTTTTGTATATGTATATGTGTTTGTATATGTAGATGGATATGTTTTTGTATATGTGCATGTAATTAAATGTGTATGTATGTGTATATGTAAAGGAATAGGTATAGGTATATGTATATGTATATGATATGATTATGTATAAGTTAGTTGCGTGCCACCTCATAACTAAGAGGAAACAATACTAGGTCCACACTAATTATTAATTATCAACCACTGGTACAAAACATATGTCAACTATTTTTGGGACATGGTCATATGTGTATGTATTTATGTGCATATGTATGTGTATGTGTATATTATGTGTGTTTTTTGGTCCAGTTGAACCAGTTGAAATGCTGGTTGCATCAGCAACAACAACAACAACTGGGCATCTAAGATATTTGAGCAGCGACAAATAAGATTGGAGCAACTACAAATCAGGATCAAATAGGGAACATCATGTGTCCAATTCCCAGTTGATTTCAATATTGGCCCAACATATGATTGATAAACAATACTTCATGCAACCCCATCCAACTTTAGATACATCTACGATACATTGATACATCCTAGATACTATATATATACACATACATCCTAGTCATTATACTATATTTATCTAAATCATACATCTACGAATCTATCCTAGAAAAATCCTGATATTGTAAGATGTTCTTTATTAAATATACACATTATCCATCATTATCCTACTCAAATATTACCCTGTGGTTATTTAACATAGCCATGGAACATGGCCCATTACCTCTTAAACATGGGCCATGGGCCGTTGCCAAGTCTCTGGTGGCTGTTTGCACCTCCGAACTCCTGGCGAAGCAAACCGGAATCACGGCTTCGTTCAGCAAGAAATTCATGGTGAAGATGGTTCAGTGAAGTGCAAATATGATATTGTTTTAATGGTGATTAATGGTGATTAATGGTGAAAATATGAAAATTATATAGTGATATCATATTAATTTAATGGTGGTTAATTTTGTAAATATTACTCAATCATGTTAAAATTCAACCATCAATCATGGTGAAAATCACTATATCACTATGGTTTGTTCACTGTTAGTCAAACATAATAATAGTTCATAACTGTCATAACTAATACATATAATCGCAGTTGATGTAATAGTTGATAGATAAATATGTTAACTCATAATAGTTCATAGATCTAATAATAATAATAACTGCTGTCAAATGATTAATTATAGTTGATAGTAGTTGATAGTGATGATAGCAGTTGATCAGTCAGTTGGACAAATCCCAAGCATAATCATAGACTGAAGTCCAGTAATTGTTTGTAGTATCTAATTATGATATATAGTGACTGAGTGATATATATGATATATGTTTGTTAACAAACTCACAACAGTTACCCAGCCTCAACCTCAAGCTTTGCTTCAAGTTTTAAATAGAGCTGGTTACTAGGAATCCCAAGTCTTTGACATATTTGATTCTTAAACTCCCAGTTTCAACTGTTCCAACAAGTCTTAACTTTTTCTAAAGAATGCACATAGCTCTCCCAAGCTCTCCCAAGTATGGATAACTACTGTTTAAAAATATTCTCTCCATAGCGAACTGGAAAATGAATCTAATTTACATAGCTAACCTATCAACTGGTTGGTGCGAAATCCATAGCCATGGTAAACTACTGGAGGGTAAATTCCGATTAAATTCCTATGAAATTCCCGTTAACATTGTTAACCCCATTGTTCACCCCATTAAAGGTCCATTCAACCTCATTGAAGTCCATTGTTCATTCGCATTAACATCATTTCTAATCCCATTCAAGTCAATTAAATCCTACTAAATCCCTAATTCCCATTCACATTGCTAATCCCATTATCATCCGTTCTCCCCATTTCTAATCCATGCGAATCCCATTGGTCATAGCTGTTAATCCATCCATCAATCCCATGAAAATCCCATGAAAATCCCATTGGTCATAGATTTTATCCTGGTTGGTGGTTTCAATCCCTCTGAAAAATATGAACGTCAGTTGGGATGATGACATTCCCAACTGAATGGAAAGTCATAAAATTCCATGGTTCCAAACCACCAACCAGTTATAGATCATTATAGATCATTATTATACTTAACCAGTATCATTATAGATCATTACTGTACTATATTGATAGTATAATTATATTATTACTATATTATTATCAATATGTAATAGACTATTAACCAGTATTATTACTATTTTTTCATAGATTTTATCCAATCACAATCCCAACGCGATTTATCTCTGGCCTCTCAGCCCAGGCCACCAGCGCTTCCGCCAGCTGCAGCATGGCATGAACGCCGCTGCGGCGCGTGCGCAGCGCGCTGAGCAGTGCAACCAGCAGGGCGCGGGGAAGCGCCTGGCGAACGACGGCTGAAAAAATAAGGGACCGGTTAAAACATGGATTGATGATATCTAATGATGTTGATATCTGAGGCTGTAGAATGTGTTGAATCATCTTATGAACTACGAACGTAGTTCAAGTACGTTCTAAAAAAAAGTTCAATCATGTTCAATTTGTGTTTAGCAGATTTCGGACATGTTTTGATCATGAACATCACCCATAGAATCCATGTATGGTATATTTACCTACATTTGGGTCATTTATGTGGTAAATGTTGGTAAATATTCCATACATGGGGTCTTTACCTGTCGCAATACGTGGGATGTCACCACCTGCCTCGTCCTTTTGACCTCGGAGCCGGACAGGGAGCAACATCGGTGGCAACTTTGGTAGTAATCAGTGTATAGTAATGCATAGATATGTTGATGTTTGTCATGACATAATATAATATATATATATATATAATATATATATATATAATATATATATATATAATATATATATATAATATATATATAATGCTGTTTTTACCACAGCACTCATAGGCGTTGACATGCCTATTCCGTGAAGTATTGGCTGAAAAGAGCCGCGGAGCGAGATTCATGAGGCGTTGAACACCCCTCCTTGTCCAATCGATTCCAGTGACTCTTCATATCCTACTTGAGCACTTCTACCGCTTGCACGGTAGCGGAGCCTGCCTACGGGCGGGCGTGAGACCAGGGACCTACAGCCTCCTATTGCCAGAGCCATAGGAGGAACAACATGGCGGAGAAGCAGAAAAGGATAGAGAAGACGCGAGAAGGAGTTCCCATTTGGGATGGAGATGCCGGAACATATCAGGAGTTTGAAGAGAGCGCTTTGCTGTGGGAGCAATCCATAGCGATGCACAAGCGCTACTTGTGCGGCCCGAGGCTTCTCACAGAGCTGACGGGCACTGCTCGCAGGTTCACTGTGGGCAAGCATCCCGAATGGCTCTCCTTCAATGGAGGCGTGCAGCGGCTTCTGACGTACCTGAGGTCAAACTTGGGCCTTCCACAGATGCCTGAACTGACGGATCATTTGAGCCGTTACTTCCGGCAGTCCAGGCGCAAGAAGGGGGAGACCATGAATGAGTACGTCACTAGAAAGTCAGAACTGTATGCAAGAGCTAGGCAAGGACTTCACAGGGTGATGTCTCACTATGAGAAAAAGAAGCCAGCGTGGGAGAAGAGCTACGGCGGCTATAGCCGTCCGGGGTCCACCGACCCTTGGGCCAACTACAGGAGGACACCCTCCCTGGCTGGCAGTCAGAACCTGAGTGCTGAGGAGATTCAGGATGATCGGGAAGCGCTTGCTCGACCTGATGATCAAGCTGAGGCCACCGAGGATGCAACTGAGGAGCGAAGCTCCACTGGTCCAGGTCCTTCAGGAGACTCCTGGAGTTATCCGGACTGGTGGTCAGATGACTGGTGGAGTACCTCTTGGACACCTTCCGAGAATGCCGACTGGAATGTGGAAGCCCCTGAACTACTACCAGAGTATGTCCAGGGCTGGTACCTCTTGTTTGATTCTGGCCTGGACACCAACGAGCGCAACATGGTCGTGGCAGCCCTGAAGGGCGACTTCACTATGACCCGAGTGGCACAGGAGCTACGCAGCCAGTGGACTGATGAGGACTTGCGTCGTCGAGATGCAGCCAATCGTCACTCCAGCTGGTGGGTGGATGAGAATGAAGAGGCCGAGTCTGAGGACTATGACACTGCCTGGGTTGCCCAGGCTCACCGCAACTTCAATGACGAGGGCCTCGCACTCCTGGGTGAAGCTGAAGATGTGGCTCAAGAAGCCCTAGCCATGATGGAGCGCGGGCGTCGCACCTTGAAAGAGGCCAGACAGAAACAACATCAGGTGAGGATGTCCCGGAAGTACTACCGCACCAACTTCAAGCCCTCTGGAAGCACTTCGGCTGTAGCTTCTGGCACAGATCAAAAGTGCTTCCGATGTGGTGGTCCTCACAAGACTTCATCATGTCCAAAGGCAATGGCAACAACGACAGCCTCTTCAGCCGAAGAGCAGGCTGCACCTTTCATCTGTTTTGCACAAGGCCAGATCACCAAGGACCATGAGATTGTGGACCCTATGTCCCGGACGACCACGAGGTGAACTACCTGGATGCTGGGTTCTCCGATGCTTGCCCAGAGGCCTTCTTTGATGTTGCCGACACCAGCAGCATAGGGCCTATCTCCACTCAGATGGCCGTCGAGCAAGGCAAGGCTGTCGTTGATGGAGGGGCTACAAAGACCCTTGGCAGCGTGGTGGCCCTCGAGAAGATCATTGCCCTCAACAAGTCTTGCTTGCACACAGACGGTGTTAAGGTGTTAGCTGGTAAGTTTGGTGGCCATTTTGTAGCCTACCTTTCATCCAGGCGAGCCTTGTTCAATGGGCTGCGGACCGCAAAAAAATGTCAGAATAGATGCCAGATCGAAGGCCAGAAAACCAGAAAAATGTGTTAGCAAATATGTCAGAAGCTATCTGGGAACAGCAGAGGGGAAAAAAAATGTCAGAAGATATCTGGGAACAGAAGAGGGGAAAAATATGGAAAAATGATGAAAACTAGAAACTGTGGTCAGAAAAAAAACAAAATTAAAAGAAATCATTTCTTGCATGACTCAAAACAACCCAGGCAAAAATTAAGTCTTTGGAAATTTATTTTTGGAAAACGGATGATACATCATTTGTTTTGGTTTTAACTTTTGGATGCCAGGCAAAAAAATAAGCCTTTGGAAATTTAATTTGTAAAACGAATGATACATCATTTGTTTTGGTTTTAGCTTTTGGATGCTTGTGTTTTGAACTTTACAAGCGACCTATTTTGTATTTTTTTCCCTTCATATCATTGTGTTTCATGATCAGTAACCATATCCATTTTTTTGCTGGAGGCACTGAATGTTGATGCATAAAGCGCTGAAATATGCGCTGAAGCGCTGAAACATGCGCAAGGCTCAAACCATAGTTTTTCCATGTTCGCACCCATCCATGCTTGTGTCAGATTCTCAGATAGGACAGGGGGGGCAGGGCGGCGCAAAAAAGAATCCACATTTAAAAAATACAGCAATGAATTTTCACAGAGTGATGCTAGTTGAATTTCATCCCAATAAATGATGCTAAATCAGAAATGAAATCATGATATATGATATATGACATACACAGGATGGTTCACTGCAGGTTCAATGCATTTCATGGCACAGTGCTGAAGGCGGTACTTCTGTCAGATTCTCAGTTCAACTTGGGGTGACAACGTTGCAAACATGTTGAAACTTGAAAACATTAAACATACTTTTCTTAGAACGATTTTTGGATCCTGCGTAGTCTTAGTTGTCTGTTAAACATGTTCAGTTTAGAATTACAATCCTCTACTATGAAAACCAAGAACCAAATCATTCTCAATATGAAATTTGTTTAAATTTTTGTACTTTCTCAGGTTTCGATTTCATTGCCTTGCACTCAGGTGAGTTTGGTTTCATCAACGCTTGGCTGACTCTGGGCATTGCTTCAGATAATTTGGCAAGAAGGGCAAAAAACTTCGTCCAACCAAATCACCATGAGTGATCTGGTAGCGCTGAAACATGCGCAACGCCGCTGAAACATGCGGTCAACCAGGACGAGTTTTTTGTCGTTCTTGCTAAATTATGGGAGTGGCAGGTGCTGAAATGCACCTGGATTTGTTGATCCATTCTGATATATTATATATGTAAATGCAGAGAGATGCAGTTGTGTTGGGAAACAAATCTATAGCCATCAAACTTAGGAACTTTATATCAAAAAAAATGGATCAGCAAGTCAGTGGGATTGAGTGGCAAAGGCCGCTGAAAAATGCGGTTTCCCCGCTGAAACATGCGGAATGTCGCACTTTGGAAAGTGTTGGTATTTGCCATCCAATCCCACCCCACTGAAATATGTGGGTAGTGCTGCAAAGCATTCGAGTCATCCTGCACCAGGTCGTCAAAATATGTTAGACAATATAATATGTATATATATTAGTTTTTTTTAAAGTCTCGTAAAAATATTTTTGTTATCTAGCGTACGTGCAGTGACGAGTGACATGAACGGGGGTATGAACGTGTGTGTGAACGACATGCGTGCGAGTGAACGTACGTGCGAACGTATGTATGTACGAGTGAGCGTACGTGCGAGCGAACGTGTGAGCGTACGTCCGTGCGTTTGCACGGTCACTCGCCACGCGCGCGCGCACGTACGAAAATAAGGTCGACTTGAGTCGACCTTATTTTTGCACGACCCTGCCTCTTTAGTATTGATTTAGTATTGTAGCGCTTTGCACGTACAGAAATAAGGTCGACTCCAGTCGACCTTATTTTCGTACGTGCGCGCGCACGCGGCCAGTGAACGTGCAAACGCACGCACGTACGCGCACACGTCCGTCCACTTGTACGCACACGTCCGTTCACTCGTTCGCTCACACGTGCACTCGTCCGTTCACTCGTACCCCCTACGTTCGTCACCACGTCCGTTAGCCACTCGTACCCCCTACGTTCACCGCGTCTCTTGGAGCTTTAAAAGCATTGTTTACGAGGCTTTAAAAAAAGCTAATATATATATATTATTCTAAGAGCACTCTACCCCGATAAAAAAATGTTGAAGCAACACCTGTCCGAAGGTAAGATCAATGCCTGTATGCAATGCCTGGGGGCCCCAGGATTTGACACATGTTGATTCAGTGTTGAGATCTGTTTCTTTTTGGCACTGGTGAACCCCCTAAATCAGCAAACATACAAGACTGCATGACAGGAGGCAGTATGATCGATAGATTGCAAATGCACTATAATGACTGTCAACAATGCTCAACCCAATTCATGGTACTGATACTTTCGATCTGTATATCGAAGTGTGAGACCTTCAATTAGGACATGCCTATTCCTTCTGACGCATTTTTCAGCGTTTGACACGCATTTCAGCGTTGCAACCAAGGCCAATACAACCCAGTTCCAGAAGTGAAGTTGGACTGTTCCTCAGCCGAACAAGTAGTCAACAAGAACAACTGCAAGGAAGACAAGTGATTCACGAAACTTGGGCGGAACTCTTGTTTGAATTCATGGGTGCTCAACGCAAATCTCTAATCGTTTTACCAGTTCCAAATGCAACTGTTCACTATAGTCTCGCTGCAGCGTATTTTTTTTGCACCTTGCGCCCTGCCAATCGCCGAGCCTCATTGGGTTCAGTCCTGGGAAGCGGCAGTGACAAAGACATGGAATAGAATCGAGCTTTTAGGAACTTAATGTAGTGTGCGTTATGACAGTGCTTGACAGTGTTTCTTCAGCACTCCTTACGCAGGTTTTAAGCAGTTTTTGCCAACCCCTGCGGATTATTGTCCTTGCGCCCTTTCCATTTCTTTGGTGGGTTTTTCTCCTGACAAGTGTTGGCAGTCAAATCAGCGAAGACTGACATGTTTTCACTATAGGAATAAAAACACAATTTTCTTTGAAAGGGGTCCTCGGGGTGAAAGGCGCCCAGGACGCCATTCACCCTGAGGACCCCTTTCAAGGGAAATCTTGTTATAAGCAGGGTGCGTGTATCCCACCGTTTCCAGACACTGCAATGCCTGATGTTTTTTTTGATCTTACGCTCGGGACTCGATGATCTCTTTTCCTGACAGTGTCAACGACCCGACCCTCATGTTAAGTATCGTGGACACATCTCCGCTGCCCAAAGTATGCTTATTTATATTGCCCCGGCCCTGCCTTCTTCGCTTTCAGTTTTGGCTTTGAAGCCATGCTCTTCCTGCTCTCATCTTCCTCCGCAGTATTAGTTGGGCTACTATAGGTGGTTGGCGTCAACATGGATAGATTTTTTTCAGTGCTCAACTTGTCTAGCGCATTGCGCAACGATCCATGCGCTGCATGCTTGCCGTGCGTTTGAATGGAAAATTTCGTTTCTTGGGCCTTGCTGAATCAAAGTAAAACTGAACCTGGCGATATTATAAAATGGAAAACTGTGGTTATCATTCACCATTTTGACTGCCTGGTCCTTTGCCGGGGAGGTCTTCTCTGACTTCTTTTTCTTTTTCTTTTTCTTTTGAACGTCCGGCCCAAGAATCTCCTGCCGTGATTTTTGGTTCAACAGCAATAATAACGATGATGATGGTGATGATGATGATGATGACGATGACGATGACGATGATGATGATGATGATAGTGATGGTGAGGGTGAGGGTGAGGGTGATGGTGATGGTGGCTGCCTCGATCAGCTTGTCGTAGTAGTCCGGACTCTGCGACACTTCTTGAAAACCAGCAGCGATACTCTCCTGAACATGGGTCAGACACTGTAGGCCTTTTTAAACTAGGATGTCAACATGTCAATTAAAAACCTTTTGCATGTGTTTTGGTTGAAATTTAGTTGCTCAAAAAAATGGAAACATGTTTTTTCAATGGCAATGAACGAAAAATGTTGTTGCAGTCCTCGCGAGAAGCAACGGACCTTGCTGGATTCGGTGGATTCGCGGTTCCCGTAGGCGGCTTCGTGGTTGCCGTTGCTGCTGGTGTAGGGTTTGGTCTCGTGGTTGCCGTTGCTGCTGGTGTAGGGCTTGGTCTCACGGTTGCCGTTGCTGCTGGTGTAGGGCTTGGTCTCGCGGTTGCCGTTGCTGCTGGTGTAGGGCTTGGTCTCGTGGTTGCCGTTGCTGCTGCTGTAAGGCTTAGTCTTGCCGTTGCCATTGCTGCTGGCGTAGGGCTTGGTCTCGCGGTTGCCGTTGATGCTGGTGTAGGGCTTGGTCTCGTGGTTGCCGTTGCTGCTGCTGTAGGGCTTAGTCTTGCCGTTGCCATTGCTGCTGGTGTAGGGCTTGGTCTCGCAGTTGCCGTTGCTGCTGGCGTTGCCGTTGCCGTTGCTTCGCGGTTGCCGTTGCTGCTGTTGTTGGTTGCTGTTGTAGGGCAGCTTGCAACGGCGGCTCGAAACGGAGGTGGCATGCGTCGGACTGAAGCCATCAACCTTCGTTCGGCTTCTGCCATCTCACTCAGCCTTCGAAGAGCTTCTGCAGCCATTTCTGCATAGTCCACTGGAGGTGTGCCCGGTGGTTGGTAGGCTCCACCCTTTCCTCTTCCAGCTGTCCCTCCTTTTCCTTTTCC